GCCCATGCTGCCGGATTGGCTTGATTTAAAGCACGGGCTCTCTCCTCTAGCGCCTTAATGGCCGCTTGGTTAATCCTTGTCCTTTCCTCATTATTGAACAATGTCATTAATAACTGCTGGCAATCAGCCCATGTCGGTTTATGTGTCTGAACTATCGAGGTGAACAGATCGGTCATAGCTTGTGGTTTCTCAGTGTACGAGGAATTGTGGGTCTTCCAATTCAAGAGATCGGTAGTCGTGATCGGGACATATACGAAGACTGGGTCAGCATGTGCCATTTGACCTGCGGCATCGATATAGGCTGACCCAGGATTCAGACGAAGAGGCATCTGATAATGTTTTAATTGTTGGGTACCGGTCAGTTGTCGGGTTAGTATGGGGCTACGTGGAGGGGCGCCAGTTAAAGGTTCCGGTCGAGAGGTAATAGGGCATGAGGATGTGGGAACTTGATTTTGGGAAAAGTTAGTGAATAGTATACTCCGAGCCGAGCTAGAAGAAGCTTGACCGGAAGTTTGAAGTGGCGCCAAATCAGGATATTCAGATCTAATGGGGGTTGGTCCTGGTTCCGGAAGAGGAGTTTTAATACGAGGGGGGGTGGATTCTGTACTGGAGGAGGAAGCGGAAGTGGATGGGGACAATAGGGGAAGGGGTGCAGAACTTCCTGCATTCGCGTCACTTCCTCTTAAAGGAAAGTAAGGGGGCGGCAAAGGGATCTCGGACTCAGGGGGCGTGTCCAAAATGGGCCTAACACCAGTCCTAGTGGACAAACAAGTCCTGGCCACTATGAGGCGACATTGCTCCTCGTGGCATATCCGGATCCATTTTGGCGAGTCGTTTACGGCCTGCCCCCAACAATCAATGTATGGAAACTGTCCGTAAAGCTCAGGCCTACCTGATACAGCCACGTGTACACGCTGTACCAGGGTTGGATCCAAACTGCCACGCGGCGGCCATGCCGCAACCAAAGTAGGCCACTCCCTAGTGCACAAAGTGACCAAACGTACAGGAGACACTTTAACCCCAAAATCACATGTTTTGAATCCCTTTTTAAAATTCTTTACCATACAACCTAAGGGATCCGAAATCGTTGACTCTGACGCGCCCATACTTATCAATGGAACGTCGCTGACAACGAATACTATGCACGCGTTCTTATTCAACAGTCACACCCGTTTCCTCTGGCAACAGCACCACGTGGTACAGTTACCGAGTGAAACGTACACAATAACACAATAATCACTCAGGGAATTCCCGTACACACACAGCTGTTACACCAGTCACCAAATAATCAATATTATGCCCTTTGGCGAAACTATACAGTCACCCACGCTATAATTCTCTATATATGAATTACCCGTCTATAACACACCCCAGTAACATCGTCTTTTACTAGTATCGGTTACAGTACGGTTAGCATAGGTCAAAGCACAATTTAAGGTCACAATACAATTATTAGTGGTTACGGTGTTAAACATGCAATAGACCACAATGATTAGTACTTATATACAGTGTCAGTAAATATACAGGGTTATGGTACCGTGCACTATGATACAGCAACACACTATTAACACTCTCGCTAGACGGCTGAGCTCGCGCTATCTAACAAGATATACACTTTACTAACAATCTTTAACACATTTACAATCCTAACTAAACTATTGGCCAGTACCTTGAATGGACTACCTAAAACTATATACACCCGTTTTGGTTAGCCACACTGCCCAAGCACCACATATAGCGAACTAGAGGGCAGAATTTACAAAATTGCCCTTCTAGTCTATTTACTCTATCAAAAGTCTAGTGGGTTCCAAATTTACACGCCTTCCCACTTAGCCAAGATAGGGTGAGAGCTAGCGAACCGAATTTACACAGGCGCCGCTTAGTCTCCCGGTCCCTCCGACCTAGCGAACGTAATATACACCCTAGAACGCTAGTCTAGACAAGACACCGGTGTCCGGCTAGGGCTATTTACACAGGACACCGCCTGACTAACCAGATCAAAACGGTCTTACTAAAGAGCGTTCGATCGAGCGGTGCGCCTTCGCTCCTTCCCTCCGACAGAGGGGGCAGATTCCATACACAGATTTAAACCCCTTTTGGGCCTACCGCACAATCGGTATACCCCTAGTGGGTCTGCCGTCTAAAACAGCAGTTGTCTTACCTCCTCGCTCCTGAACCTGAGTTCACACTCATCGACGGGGACACCCCAGCACTTCTTACGTAGAGGCCGATGATCTCCTGGACAACAGACCAGTGGCGCCGAGACGAAGGGAGGTCCACGCAGAAGTTCAGGGGTGCAGCCGTAGAGAACGTGGGCAAAGATAGACCGTCTCACGCCTCTGCCTCTCAGCTACCGCTGAACGATGAGCTTCCCGGCCAATGCACCAAATGATACCGGAGAAACTGACGGAAGCAAAGCACAGAGGGATGGACACAGGTTTCTTCAGGAAGGAAGAGATTCTTTATTGGATCACCGATCGGGACTCAGAGGGACTAATGTCACCAAAAAATACAGCAAGTTCTGAGCCCTGAACAATAGTGCAGGCTCCCTATATAGGCACATAACTCCTCCCATATTAAGTTCCACCCGCACATTCTCTTGACCAATCATTACAAATAAGAATTAACTTCCTGCTTGACCGCATGGCTTGTCCAGCACAATGGAGGAGGGGAATACTACATCCTGTATTCTGCAATACGTTCGCACACTACTGATCGATTCTGCCCTGCGGCAACCAACTGATCGACACGCCAAAGCATATGCACTATATTAACAAGCCAATGCGGGTAATCCCCTCGCCTACTGAAATTTATTTACCGAGATTCCACCCACAAAGTTTCACACTTTCTCAAACGGATGTAATTTACCTTAAATAATTGTATCTCAATCTCTAAATTGAACTTTAATCACATACAGGAGACTCTTGTAGGGTCTAGCAGGCTATTAACATAGCAGGGGATAAGAAAATCTTAATTAAACAGAACTTGCAATAAAGAAAGCCTAAATAGGGCTCTCTTTACAGGAAGTGTTTATGGAAGGCTGTGCAAGTCACATGCAGGGAGGTGTGACTAGGGTTCATAAACAAAGGGATTTTACTCCTAAATGGCAGAGGATTGAGCAGTGAGGCTGCAGGGGCATGTTCTATACACCAAAACTGCTTCATTTAGCTAAAGTTGTTCAGGTTACTATAGTGTCCCTTTAAGAATAATAATAATAATAATAATATATGTGAGAAAACATTAAGTGATCTTGCTATGCAAGAACACTTAATAATTTTCCAACTCTGCTATAGTCACATCTTGGCTGCTTTGGTCTAATGTGTTGCAATTCAGCATTTGGTGAATAAACCCCAATGGTGTGTGTGGCTGATGGGAGTTACAGTCCCACAGCAGCTGAGCTGATACAACATGTCTAAGTAGTTATAGTATCTGTAAAATGAATCAGAAAATGCATGTAAATGACAACTGGGCGTTTCCATAGCAACATTTAAAAAAAAAAAAAAAAGCTTAGCTTTCCCTTCCGCCATGACACCGGAAGTAAAGTTCCTGTAGCGAAGCCGCCATGTTGTACGGAAAATATTGCCTTAGTATCCCCGCTGTATCCGCCATATTGCTATACGTACAGCTATATAGGATGGTACAGACCCCGTATTGACCGAGGTGCCCCGCCCCCTTTGTCCGCCATGTTGTTGTACGGAATACAACGTACCCACCCATCTTCGCTCTATGCGGTTTCCGCTTCCGGTGCCGCCGGGCGCTGCCGAGGATCCAGGCAACTGGTCTGCGAAGCTCCCGGGCAGGCGGGGAGCGCTGCGTGACGTCACGGGCCAGGCTCTGACGTCACTTGGGTGCCCAGCTCCATGACGTCAGGAGCGAATAGGTGGGTGGGCGTGTGTGTGCTGTGTTTATATTGGAGATATCTAAGGAGCTATTCACTAAACAGCGTGAATTATAGAATTATAGTCCAAGGGAGCCCGGCTGGAAACATTGGATCATTAGACCCCCCCCTCTCTCTATAAAATAAACTATTTTGTGTTACAATGATTCTGAAACTGAAAGGGAGGTGGTTAACAATGTATTTAATGTATCTGTATCTATCTCTCTCTCTCTCACCCCCTCTCTCTCTCTCTCTGTCTCTCTCTCTCTCTCTCTGTCTCTCTCTCTCCCCTCTCTCTCTCTCTCCCCCCCCTCCTCTCTCTCTCTCTCCCCTCTCTCTCTCTCTCTCCCCCCCACTCTCTCTCTCCCTCTCTCCCCCTCTCTCTCTCTCTCTCTCTCTCTCTCTCTCCCTCTCTCTCTCCCTCTCTCTCTCTCTCCCCCCTCCTCTCTCTCCTCCCCCCCTCTCTCTCTCTCTCTCTCCCTCTCTCTCTCTCTCTCCTCTCCCCCCCTCTCTCTCTCTCTCTCCTCCCCCTCTCTCTCTCTCTCTCTCTCTCTCTCTCTCTTTCTCTCTCTCTCTCTCTCTCTCTCTCTCTCTCTCCCCTCTCTCTCCATTACTAGTATGTGTTCAGCAAAATCAACGTTTCCACCCTATAGAGTCACTATCAAGATGTCTGGAAACGTTGGTTTTGCTGGACACATACTAGTAAAGTATTTATTTGGAAGTCCTTTGAGTGCTGTTGATTTATCATTTCTTGGGTGAGTTAGCACCTAGGCATTTCGATGGCTAAGCTATTGATGATTTTTTGTTGCGTGCTGGACGTTTATATAGTTGCATACATATGTGTGTATGGATATACATTATTAACAATCTCCCTATCAGTATCATTGTAGCACGAAATGGAAGAATTTGTTGTGTTTATTTGTTTGACCGCACTTTACTTTTCAGCCTTTTAAACATAAGTTAGGAAACATATGGCTGTTTGTTAACGTAGCATATGGTTATACATACACACTAAGCAAAGAATAATTAGCACACTTGGAGGTATATAAATGCCAAATGGAATCTATATAAATAGAAAATTATTTTTAAAAAAGCACCCAAAAGGATTTTTAAATATGTTCAAATCCCTTAATGCACTGGGTGTTTGAAGAACAGACTGTCAACACATCTTTTTTTTTTACATTTTATTTCCATTCTTCTGAAGTACTGTTTGTCTGTGTATACATCATACCCTCCCACCCCCCCAATAAACCCGTAATGCCCCCACCTACTTGTATACTGTGTCCTTATTTTACAGTGCATTTCATTATAAATCATCTTCTAATGATATATGGAATTGGTGGCTGTAATGTTATGGGCAACATTACTCATAATGCTCACTCAACTGAATATGATAGCATTATAGGAAACCTAGTCCACAACAACTGCAGTGACTAATATTGAACCCTGTCTGTCTTCCATTAATGTGTGGATATTCTTCTTTAATCTGCAAGAAACCTTTAGATAAATAACATATTGACCACAGGGTGTACTTAAAAATGTTGAAAGTTAAATGTGCAGCTCCTGGTTAAATATTTTAAGACTATTGTAATTATAGATTAGATTTGATTATGTATAATGATTTGTATATGCATCTTTTGGCACAGCACGCCAAAAGGCTATTATGCATTACCTCTTCCCAAAAAGATGGAGGTATCCAAGTTTTAGTGTTCATGGTTACTGTGCAAGGGAAGCCTGCAATGGGAGCTATTACAGTTAGACTGCAGAAAATAAAGGATTATATTAAAATGAAAAAATATTAGGTAGTAATCACAGATCAGCTAAATGCTTTAGATTTTATCACCTGTCCTCCATTCGTTACAGGCTTGTATAAGAAGAAGCAGTGAATCCCTTTCCAGGATATATTCTATAACAATTCATAGCAATAATAACAGATTGAAGGAGTGGTGAATAAATGTTTTAATTTAAATGCTTGTGTATAGTAAATGTGGATCTGACCATATGGCTGTTCTATATGTATTCTATTTGCAGGTGAGCTGTCTCATTATGGAACGAAAAGATGGACCCCCGAACGAGGAAAGACTTCCAACACCAGGGGCAGAGAGAGAAGGGGACATCCACCCAGAATTAGAGGGGTATGGAGAGAGTTTCCCTGACATGAAGAGACCGAGCGAGAGTTCTTCTGACTTGAAGAGAGTGGAAGGAGAGGCAGAAGAAGAACTAGATCCCCGAATACAGGTTTGGATGCCTCTCTGACTTACTGTATATGCACCATTGTTGTTTTGAGTACAGTAATTTAGATGCAAAAAAATTCTATCTATTTTGCCAATTGATGTTCACACAGGAATTATCTCAAGGATTATACCTGTTACAAGAACAACAAATGTTCATTTCACCAACTCAGAATGTTACTCACTCTGAGTTGGTGAAATGAACATTTGCTGTGCTTGTAATACTGTTTCAGTCTATTTAGTTACTTGGCATGGCTAAGGCTGTTGCATTTCCCTGGTTTTGTGCACAACAATGTTAATGTTACTTTGTAGCTCATAGTTCACAGCAATCTTTGATTATGACTGGATCTCCTATTCTCTAAATAAGATTATTTTATGTAACTATTTTCAATGTCGTTTACATTTCTCCTCTTTTTAGCAATGTTTCTCTTATTTTGTCTTAAAATAGTCTCTAAATGTAGAACATGGATCTGACCTATAGAATTTAAGAAGCCCTTTGCGATATTGCGTATACTTTTAAAATTAATCTGTGTACTCTTCCCCGTGCCGGTATGAAAGACGAAAAATCCAAGCTGTTAAACTGTCTTCTCTGGCTGCCTTTTGCAAAGGGATAATTTAATTCTCCTTCAATTATCAGTTAATCAGGTAAAATTTGAAAAATAAATCATAGTATGTAAAACTGATGTCAAAATAGCTGGGTTGGAAAAATACTGCAGGTCTGCTGTATTCCTAGATCTATTTTGTCATGAAGTTCTAAAGTTTGGTATTTAATTTTCTAGTGTTGTAAAACTAACTTGATAACATTGTGATAGCCATATACAATTAAAATAATTTTTTTTTTAAATGAGACAGAATGCAAATAGCGTAATAATGCAAAAACACCAATAAAAGGATGGGGTAATAATTGCACTCACAAAAGAGAGTTTCATTGCAGGCATGCAAAAAATACTTAATCATGGAAAACCTTATTTTCTTTTTCCTTATCATCAAAACATAAAAGGAAGGAGAGACAAATACATAGTGTAGTATTCCCAAATAAAAGTACACAGCTTTATTAGATTGCACTCACAGGATAAAAAGTCCAAATCAGGCACATCAAAATTACTCTCAAGAACCAGGATCTTGCTGTGGTTCTTGGAGGAGATTATAGTGCAGCAGCAATTTGGACGAAAAGTTAAAAAACACACTGGTACAAAATAAAATAATATAAAACTGATATAAAACAAACACTATAGATGTCTCAAACCCTATGCTTAATACTGTAAAGTAGGTCTCCACACTTTCCCGGTTTAAAACTTCATTTTCGCACCTTCCAGAAGTGCCATCAGCCAGTCGGGAGTGGCCCCTTTGTGTAGACACATCTGAACTTCCTTATTGTGTGTCAAACCTCAATCCGGTTAAATAGTTTGCGTGATGTCATACGTCTTTCAAATGTTCCATGCGTGATGTTGTTCGTCTTGTAAGTGCTCCATTCGTTTCACGCTGCATTCCAGATACCGCTTCCGTGTTCACCATTCCGTCTATCATTAGACACTTTCGGCACGATCATTGAATGCAGACAAAGTGTCTCATAGTGAGTCCAGGCAATATTAATGTCCATAAGAATAATTGGAACATAAGGGATAAAAGAATACTTGAATGTATCATGGACAGTGTCACAATGAGACACTTTCAGTCTGCATTCAATGATAGCAGTGAAAGTGTCTAAAGATAAATGGAATAGTGAACACGGGAGCTGTATCTGGAATGCAGCGTGAAACGCATGGAGCGTTCACAAGACGAACAACATCACGCGAACCATTACACATGGAATGTTTGAAAGACATGACATCACGCAAACTATTAAATAGGATTGAGGCTAGACACAAAGTAAGGAAGTTCAGCTATGTCTACACAAAGGTGCCCTTCCCGATTGACTGATGGCACTTCAGAAAGGCGCGAAAATGAAGATTTAAACCGGGAAAGTGTGAAGACCTACTCTACAGATTCCCTTGAGGAAGTCCTGCATTTAATGAAACGCGTAGGGCTTGAGACATCTATAATGTTTGTTTTATATCAGTTTTATATTGTTTTATTTTGTACCAGTGTGTTTTTTAACGTATCATCCAAATTGCTGCTGCACTATTATCTCCTCCAAGAACCCCAGCAAGGTCCTGGTTCCAGAGAGTGATTTTTGATGTGCCTGATCTGGATTTTTTTATCCTGTGAGTGCAATTTAATAAAGCTGTGTACTTTTATTTGGGAATATTACACTATGTATTTGTCTCTGCTTCTTCCTTTTATGTTTTGATCATAACGAAAAAGAAAATAAGGTTTTCCACGATTAAGTATTTTTTACGTGCCTGCAATCAAATTCACCTTTGTGAGTGCAATTATTACCCCATCCTTTTATTGGTGTTTTTGCATTATTACGCTATTTGCATTCTGTCTCATTTAAATTTTTTTTAGATTGTATTTGTATATAAGCTTAAAGAAGACATGAAGAATATTCCTACAATCTCAGAACTTTAAGGGTAAATCTTTGTATCACTTTTACCCACTTTTTTATGGTGGCCACAATGTTGTATTGTTGGGTATATTTATTTTTTATTTTTTTTTTATTATTATTTTAACATTGTGATGGCAATTATTCAGATAATCAAGGTCGTTACAGTAGCATAATCATGCATATCATCAGTTGTTCAGACATTAATGATGAATAATTGACAGCATAATCATTTAAACATGAATAAATATATAAAAAAAACATAATTCACTATTTAGTCAAAATCCTAGCTTCACTTAAATTCCATAGGGAAATCTAGTATAAATCGCAAGTTTTCACTTTGTTATTCACTTATGTGAAAATTTGCTGGAATTCAAAGTAAATTTCAAATTAAAGGCCGAAGTAGCTGGACTGCAAGCTTAGTTGACTTGGAGACTTCAGCTACTTTGGCCTTAAATTTGAAATTCACAATGAATTTCCAAGATTTCTCTCTTTAGTAAATAATACAAAAAGTCTTTGCCTTCTGACTTTTCACTTCTCCCTCCCAGGGCATCTACTTTACCAGTGCATGTTATATTAACAGAAAATACTGATATGTTTTTTTCCCATTAAGAAATACACGCAAATGTAAAAAAAACCCACAAATAATTTGATACATGTTCAATAGCTCCTGGTTGTTATACAGTGCGTCTGGCACTCCCTTTTGTTACTGGCAACACCCAAAATAATGTTGTCAAAGGCAACATTTGGAAGAATGTGTGCTTACATACCAGTTTAATTAATTATGCGTTAGTTTACCTGCACATTATGCAAAAAATCTAATGTATGAAGCTTGTTAAACATTTTATATTTTCCCTCATTATCTTTTTATGTAAAGAAGCATTAGCTAAGCAACTGGCATAAAAAGGACTGTGCCATTTCTTTTATCTTGTTTTCATGACTCATTTTTGCTGTTCCTCCATATTCCCCATTTTGTCCTTGTGTCTTTTTCATTTTCTTTTTCTTTATCCCATCGCTCTCTTGTTTTATGTGACATTCAGGAAGAGCTGGAACGTCTGAACCAGGCGAGCGAGGAGATCAACCGACTGGAACTACAGCTGGATGTAAGGAACGAGTAGACCATGTTTTGCATATCTGCCATTTTCCATGTAATCAAATATTATTTATGTTTCCCATTTCACCTTGCTCCCACAGGATGCCCGCACAGCCTATCGTCGTATTCTGACCGAGTCTGCAAGGCGTCTTAATACCCTGGCCACTCAACTGGGAGCTTGTATTGAAAAGGCAAGACCATACTATGAAGCTAGAAGATTGGCCAAAGAGGTGTGTATGTGGCTCGGATTTCTATTGTTTAAATAAAAACCCCTCTACATATAGAAGTCTTCACTTGTTTTGCATGAAATATACAATATGTGCACCTACAGCCAGGAAAACAGAATGCTGGCAGTATTAATATTGACCAGGGCTTGTTAGTTCTGGGTGACATGTAATATAGAGAGAAGGAAGAAAAATCTGATTAAAAACATCTTGGAAGTTTAAATAAAAAGTTAAAATACACTTTAGTTGCAAAGAGATAAACCCTCCTACCAGATTGGTTTCATAATATCTGACCTTTGAGGCAAATATTTTGTACCTGAAATATAAGGGGGAAAAATAGGGCTTATTTATAAATTATGGCTAAGGTACCGCATCATCCTTATAACTCTACTTCCATCTAGAAGTCCCTGAGTAAATCACGAGCCGTGAGGATTTGCCGAGTGGGAGCTACTGTTAATTGACTTTTTAATTATAGTGCAGAGTCTTGGGTGCTGTCACCCAGGTTTGGGTTTTGAAAGTTTGACAAAAAATAACAGGATAACGTGTGCCGAGAAGCCGTATCTAAACACAGATGTCTTCACTGAGTTGAATTCTCACACACCTATATTTGAGTCTACATATCCCTTTTCATAACTTACAATCTAAGTATAATATATATTTCCTGAATCTAAGTATTTAAACTGCATCTTGGCATTTAGTGCACATGCCCCTATGTATCAGTCTCATTTACTAAACATCGGATTGTGTCCAACTTAGATCTTTACTAAAGCCAAATGTGGTCCAGAACTCAGTCAGCTCGAGCGAATCTCTAGCATTTGGTGTCAGGATTAAAATCAGTGCTTTCATATCTGAACCCTATAAAAAAGTATTGTACCCGGAAAATTCACAAAGCATCAATATTAATAGAATTCAGAACCGAATGCATCTGGCAGGATAGAAATTTGCAAATGACTGTCCACCCTCTGCCCCTTCCTATGGCCAGTGGGTGAGGGCTATTTATAAAAGAAAACGGAGGGACAGCCATTGTTAAGTAGTGTGAACAATGTCTGGAATTTGCAGTCCGAGTGGTCCCGCATGCCATGGTTTTGCCCCATTCAGTACAGGGCCATTCGGAGTTTAGTACATAACCCTGTCTGTCTTATCTAGCAGTGTCCTTGTGTCCAAACTGCACTTGTCACTAAATATATAGGCTATGGAAGTGGTGGGTCACTGGGCTAATCTTTAATAATCAATCGCAATATATATATTGTATTATATCTTTCCATACCCATTGTACATGTACAGGCTCAACAGGACACACAAAGTGCAGCTCTGCGATATGAAAGGGCAGTCAGCATGCACTCGGCAGCCAGGGAGATGGTATTTGTAGCTGAACAGGGAGTAACTGCTGACAAGAATAGACTGGACCCCACGTGGCAGGAGATGCTAAATCACGCAACATGCAAGGTGAGAGGGGGGAGAACATTGCAAAGGAGAACATGGCTTCTGACCGCTCTGAGTGGGGGTGTTGGAGAGGGAATACAGGGAGTGCAGAATTATTAGGCAAATGAGTATTTTGACCACATCATCCTCTTTATGCATGTTGTCTTACTCCAAGCTGTATAGGCTCGAAAGCCTACTACCAATTAAGCATATTAGGTGATGTGCATCTCTGTAATGAGAAGGGGTGTGGTCTAATGACATCAACACCCTATATCAGGTGTGCATAATTATTAGGCAACTTCCTTTCCTTTGGCAAAATGGGTCAAAAGAAGGACTTGACAGGCTCAGAAAAGTCAAAAATAGTGAGATATCTTGCAGAGGGATGCAGCACTCTTAAAATTGCAAAGCTTCTGAAGCGTGATCATCGAACAATCAAGCGTTTCATTCAAAATAGTCAACAGGGTCGCAAGAAGCGTGTGGAAAAACCAAGGCGCAAAATAACTGCCCATGAACTGAGAAAAGTCAAGCGTGCAGCTGCCACGATGCCACTTGCCACCAGTTTGGCCATATTTCAGAGCTGCAACATCACTGGAGTGCCCAAAAGCACAAGGTGTGCAATACTCAGAGACATGGCCAAGGTAAGAAAGGCTGAAAGACGACCACCACTGAACAAGACACACAAGCTGAAACGTCAAGACTGGGCCAAGAAATATCTCAAGACTGATTTTTCTAAGGTTTTATGGACTGATGAAATGAGAGTGAGTCTTGATGGGCCAGATGGATGGGCCCGTGGCTTGATTGGTAAAGGGCAGAGAGCTCCAGTCCGACTCAGACGCCAGCAAGGTGGAGGTGGAGTACTGGTTTGGGCTGGTATCATCAAAGATGAGCTTGTGGGGCCTTTTCGGGTTGAGGATGGAGTCAAGCTCAACTCCCAGTCCTACTGCCAGTTCCTGGAAGACACCTTCTTCAAGCAGTGGTACAGGAAGAAGTCTGCATCCTTCAAGAAAAACATGATTTTCATGCAGGACAATGCTCCATCACACGCGTCCAAGTACTCCACAGCGTGGCTGGCAAGAAAGGGTATAAAAGAAGAAAATCTAATGACATGGCCTCCTTGTTCACCTGATCTGAACCCCATTGAGAACCTGTGGTCCATCATCAAATGTGTGATTTACAAGGAGGGAAAACAGTACACCTCTCTGAACAGTGTCTGGGAGGCTGTGGTTGCTGCTGCACGCAATGTTGATGGTGAACAGATCAAAACACTGACAGAATCCATGGATGGCAGGCTTTTGAGTGTCCTTGCAAAGAAAGGTGGCTATATTGGTCACTGATTTGTTTTTGTTTTGTTTTTGAATGTCAGAAATGTATATTTGTGAATGTTGAGATGTTATATTGGTTTCACTGGTAATAATAAATAATTGAAATGGGTATATATTTGTTTTTTGTTAAGTTGCCTAATAATTATGCACAGTAATAGTCACCTGCACACACAGATATCCCCTAACATAGCTAAAACTAAAAACAAACTAAAAACTACTTCCAAAAATATTCAGCTTTGATATTAATGAGTTTTTTTGGGTTCATTGAGAACATGGTTGTTGTTCAATAATAAAATTAATCCTCAAAAATACAACTTGCCTAATAATTCTGCACTCCCTGTAGACAGGCTGGATTTGGCTTTTATTTAACACCAAAATGTAAATGTATTAGTATGCAGGGTTATAGGGCTGGAAGAGGGGAACATTTAAATGACATGAAGGAGTGCAGTAGTAAGGAGTGATTTAACAAAATTAAAGTTATTTCTCCATCTACATCTCAATATATATAAATTAAACATAATCTGTGATTACCCCAAGGCTTTCTTACAGTATCTCCTGCAACTCCGCCAGCAGCTGGCATGTAAGGATTGGCCTCTACTTGCCCATGCAACATGACGTGGAATGCCATGCTAATAAAAATATATATCCTTCCTCCTTACATTGCAGTTTCGTTGTTCAGCCTATTGTCTCTCCTTCCTTTAGGTAAATGAAGCAGAAGAGGAGCGGCTACGCAGTGAATTTGAACACCAGCGCGTGACCCGTCAATGTCACGAAGCTGAAGCCAAAGTGCAGACCTTACAGAAGAGCCTGAAACGCGTCATATTAAAAAGTCGCCCCTATTTTGAGCTGAAGGCACAGTTTAACACTGTGCTAGAGGTAAAGAGCATTTTATTCTCATTTTATTTTAACGGCAGATATGTTATGATAGTAAAGTGAGTAATGTGTTTCTACCTGCACCCAAGATGCAGTTCTAGGGTTAAGTCCTAAAGAGTCTTAAAAGAGAATGTATACACTAAGCGGGGAATGGTGGATTGCAAATCTTAGACAAATACATATTCCTATAAAACCCCACTGGCCAGGGGTTTGTCAAATATGCTCAGAGCCATTGTATTGAATTAAAGCATTCTAATTGGCTCAGCTACTTCTGGGTCTGGACAGAGCAAATGCAGGAAGTGTATTTCATTTTATTTTTAAAGCATTATTATATTTTGCAAAAACAAAATCTAGTCACCCAGAACACTTCATATGAGTAGTCCTGTTATTTTAACTCTGCAATGTAAAACATTTATAGACATTTCCACCAGAGTTATTCTCGAGCCGAAAAAAATCTCCATCTTAGCCTTTTTTTTGCCAGTTGGATTTAATTTATGAAAATTCAGTGAATAACCCTGTATGTGTAGCAGAGCAACTGACAATTTGTGTCTTCCTTATGCCTTTCTATAATTTTATTGCTTTATTTCAGGAACACAAATCTCGTGTCACCTCTCTAGAGACCTCGGTGTCCCAGGCAAAACTTTGCTACTCTGGAACACTACGCAATTTAGAGCAGATCAGTGAAGAGATTCATGCTCGCCGCACTCAAGGTCCTCTCCTTACCCTCCGTGCCCCTCCCCTTGGAGCTGAAGCACCTGCTTCCATGTTGGATGGAGAAGGGGGTACATCGTCAGACACCATATCTCTTCTCAGTTTGCAGACCATTGCATCAGATCTGCAGAAGAGCGATTCTGTAGAACACTTGAGAGGCTTGGGGGATGTAACCAGTCTAGATGGAAGAGGGACTGATGAGGAGAATGGTGGGGAAAATAGGGAGAGAGGCGGAGAAAGAGGTGGAGGAGGGGCTTTTAGGCATCACAGGAGTGTAAGTCTGTGAAGTGGAAGTAATTGGATGGGGCATGTTACCCCTTAAAGAAAGCTTTGCAACAATTTATGGCTATGGGCTTAGTGGGGTTTGCTATCAGATACTCCTTGGTGTGATTGAGGCAGTGACGTCTTAGCAGGTTGCACTCTAGCTTTTGTGAACTACATTTACCATAATGCCCCAACCGTGACTGGAAAATTTAATTCACAACAGCTTGAGTGCCAATGATGTGAGGTTTATTGGTAAACAAATAGCTGGACTGGAGGGTCAGAGGTTGGAAAAGTTGACTTCATGCAGAGATGGTAAAATGGGGCATTTAGATTATTTAGGGGACAGTAGGTTTCTATGACATTTTAGCTAACCTTTTGGCTTGGCACAGAAGCATTTGAGAATGGGAGGCTATTAGCTTGTCAAAAAGATGCATATTCTGTCATATCTGGTAGACAGCTAACAAGTATTTTTTTTTTTTTTATTATCTAATAAGACTGAGAATGTGTCAGATGCTTCTTCCTTTGGCTGAATTTGGGCAGAAGGAGAAACCCAAACATCTTAAAAGAATGCGTGGAGTGCATGTGCTGATAGCTTGGGCACGAGATTATTAATTCTCAATATTATCCTGAATGTCTGCCAATACTAAGGTTAAATATCAGGTTTACCCTTTGTAACAGCAAGGAGTAATCAGCAAATCCTAGATCGTTGATGGACCTTAAAAATTGAATTGAGAAGACCTGTTCATGGTCATAAGTTCTCAAAATCTGGCCTCAGCCCACGTGATTATTTTCGAATCAAAACCCGTGAATTTTACCGATGTTCCAGTCATATTGAAAGACCTGGCAGACATGGCTTGAGACAGCATTGACTCAGAAAGAATCATGAGCATTAAGCAATAAACACGGCACAGAAAGAGTCCCCCATCATGCTCACACAAACCTTGTTGTCTTGAAGTTTGCCTCTTATGATCAGAGTGCTTGTTGTTTCCAAACAATTGTGTCAAAGTGGGGATATCTAAAATCACATTGTGTTGGCTAGGCTGGAGGTCAGAGAACTACTGTTCAATATGAATTTAACAAGTATTTATAGCAGGAGGTACAAGGGAACATTCAGAGCAAAATTCTGATATTCTAGTTCTGAGGACAGTGTAGTCAGGCTGGAGATGTCTCGCTGCTATGAGAACTCTCTCTGTTTGATGCAGCACTCAGAATGTTTTTATTTTAATAACTATATCTTGATGTCTCTGTGTCCGAACATTAATTCACACTGTATATACTTGAACTGGGGTGTAAGTGTATGTAGTGATCAGTACAGGCTAATGTGTATATAGTATTGTATAGCTGCAGGGATGTGTGTGTAAATATACTCTTTGAAACTTAATTAAACCAAGGAAAGACGGTGTCACCTCCTTAACCCCTTAAGGACCAGACTTCTGGAATAAAAGGGAATCATGACATGTCACCCATGTCATGTGTCCTTAAGGGGTTAAAGCTTCACCCATCTTGTTTGAAACCATTTCATCTTGGCGTAAAATGTACAGCTGAAACTTTTCTTTTTTTTTTTTTTTTAAATAAAGCTTTTGATTTCCCACCCAACCTTTCTTGTTTACCTTCTGTGTTCCAGAATCCAGTTCCCATCTCATTGATTTGTAGTGCATTGGGCATGGCTCTGGCACTTAAGAGGCACATCTGTGGTTGTCCCTGGCTGTTGTAAAGCTACAATTCCTGTGATACTTTTCCAAGCTTAACGGTTAATTACTGAGCAGGAGGCAATAAATGGTGACGTTTGTTTGTACTGTGACACTTTTCAAAACATGTATATGTCAATGTTGTTTTGAACAGTCCGGTTACTTATCCAACTGGTGTCTACCATTCCAACATCCTGATTTGAGACCAAAGTACTGGCATCGCAGACTATTTTTTTTTTTTATAGTTGAATAAAAAAAAAAAAAAAAAATCTAATGAAAGCTGTACAATATCAGCTGGTAACAAGAGCCACGTTAGTAGAAGCCTTTCAAAGCATACCCTTTGTTTAGATCCTTAAGAAAAACAAATTTGTATTATTTAAGATATAAAAATTAAAACTCATGAAGGTTATATTTAGGACATTATAGTCTCCAGAACTGCTACAACTTAATGTGGTGGTTGTGGGGCATATAGCCTGTCCCAGCATTGTAAACGCTAGTGGCTGTCACTCGGGCAGCCACTAGAGGGAATTCCTGGATGAGGTCCTGCAATTTTTACACTCCCCATAGACATGCAGTGACTCAATCCATCCCCACGGGGAGATGCTGATTGGCACAGAGCAGTGCCTCTCAATGCTTCCCTATGGGGAATCAACAAACCGAATTATCTCAGCCAAGGAAGTGGGGGCAGCACCACAGAGACCGGTGCGGCGAGAGCTAAAAGGTAAGTAACAACTAATTTTTTAATGCACACACGGTATATATGAATGCTACATACTTCTCTGTGATCTCTGACTGCCAAGACAAGATGGATCTGGTAACTCTAGTTGGGACTCAGTTAAAGCTTCCGAAAGTAGATAAGAGATCATAAAAATCTGAGGATAGGAGAGAAATCTGCACATGTCCAAGACTATAGACCAGTGGTTCTTAATCTTTTAATATAGGAACCTAGATTCAGGGCCGGCCTTAGACCTTTAGGCAGCCTGTGTGAAAAATCTTCACAGCGCCCCCCCGTCATCCATGAATGATGTAAGGTTTGTGTTGTCTGTGTATGTGAGAGATGTGATGAAAGTGTGTGATATATATGCTATGTGTTGGCTGTGTGTGATATTTGTAATGGGTGTATTAACAGTGTGTGGTATGCGTGTATTGGTGGTATGTGATATTTGTGCTGGGTTTATTGGCTGTGTGTGATGGTTATTTAGTTCAGATAAAAACATGCATTTAGGCCTGTGTGTGAATGCAGGTGTATATTTTTGCAGAGTTATGTGCACACAGTTATACATAGTCAAATCTACCACATGCACATAGTCACAGGCAGATAGTCACATACACAGGATCAGGCAGAAACACACATTTACAGGTAGATAAACACACACACACAATTACAGGCAGACAGCCATACACAGACACACACACTCAGGCAGTCAGTCATACACGCAGGCAGGCAGTCATACACCCACACACACACACGCAGGCAGTCAGTCATACACAGACAGTCACACTGACAATCACACAGTTACCTCTGTTCATTGTGGAGGCAGTGCAGCTCCTGTAGACTGTTTGGGGAAGCAGGTACTCCTTCCTGCTTCCCCTGCAGCAGTTACCCGGTACTTTAGCTCCGCCCCCGCCACAGGGAAGTTCCGCCCCCGCTGCACAGGAAGTTCTGCCCCGCCACAATTTTTTTTTTTTTTTCAATCCTGGCGGCAATGTGTGAGCTGTGCGACCAGAGGGCACCCCCCTCACACTCTCTTGAGGCCGGCCCTGCCTACATTACATACATGCAATCAGACTGGTAACCTATTCTTGAGCTATTATGTGATAAAACACCTTTCAGCACCATAAACACCACAATCCTGTATTGTGGTTATGGTGTCAGCATGCCCATTTTCAAGCAGTTTGACACTTACCGAAGATCACGTGGACTCCCGCAGCCTGACCCCATGCTTACCATACTGTTATTGTGGAAGTTAAATGTCTTCATTAGCAATATCAATTCGGTTCATATTTGGACGACTTTCATTGCTGTAACATGTCGGCTATTGGTTAGATCGTCTCCCTTTAATGAAACTCTTCATTATATTTAGGAAGGCAGTGCTGCTATAGTAACCAATTTATTATGGGCAGTTACCTTGATCCTGTTTTTCTAGAAGTACAGAATATGATACCGTGTGCTAACAGAAGCGCAAGGCTAAAGGAAAGTATAAATCATAAAAAAAAAAGTTTTGACAACATCACTGTATGGTATTTGCTATTAATTCACCACTGTAGTGGGGCTGATGTAAATTATGGAGTCAAACATAATTAAATACAAAGCACATTTATAGTCACCTATATATAATTTGATAATTCACACTGGTAATGGAATTTTAACGATCCTGTCTCTTTAAAGATCTGGAGCTAACCCTATAAAAACATGCCTTGTTGATGCTAAGCGGTTACTAAAATAATGGCTTGTTATATTACTAGCAATTCTGGGATGGAGCAAAATGGACAATAATAAGAATGATGAAAAAGTGACGTACGTATTATGCAGCAACATTATATATATTTTTTTTTACTTAAAGGAAATGCGGTAAAATATTGTTTAACCCCTTAAGGTGAATGTAACGGATCACCTGGCAGCCCGACTGGCTACCTCCGTTGAAGGATGCTCCTAGTGCTTCCTGAGGGCTCCAGCTGACACCATAACCACTGTAAACTCCTCCAGAGGGCAAGACAGGAACAAGCTCTTACAAGAGCTTAGTAGTGATATAGCAAGGGAGTATGACTAGCATAGCAATCCCTTGTAGCAGATTCCCCCAGTAACGAGATGACACTTAGTTTTGAGGGTCAAGCAGAACTGACTGTACTGGCACATACAGCCTCTTTTATTCCCAATCCACAAATATAGTACTGCCCACAGGGTTTTGAAATTCAACCAATCAATCCGTACAATACACACAGACACTCCCACACAAAATCCTCCCCTCTGCCTGTGATATGATTACTGAACACAATGGGTAATATAATTATCACAGGCAAAGAAATAGTTTTTACAAAATATTAACTTCCAAAATATACATGCCATTCACATAAAAACATACATTTTCAGAATCCGCATGCTTGAAATATACACATACTCAAAAATCAGGGCAATCGGTCCAGGGGTTAAAAAGTTAAGGGAAAGTCCTATTTGACAAAATGAAGCATGGTTTTTCTGCCCAAAACCAGTTCCACAGAGTCTTCTATCCTGGAGAGAATTGGGAAGGACAGAGGCAAAACTCCATTAGCCACATGGTAGCAAAATACAAAAAAAATACATAAAAATATATAACTGTGCAGCAATTGCATAAAACAGGTACAGTCAACATATCCCCAGATAGCTTAGATCTGAGCGCAAATTATTACTGAATGGCTCTCAGATCACATACATACAGTTCAATTGACATGGAGCCAAAGTCTTTCACATAGTCTTTCATTATACGAATGGGCTCCATGGCATAGCTATCTGGGGTAACACTGCTCACATACGGAAAGTACCGAAGGAACCGGCTTTCGGGTCTTTGCAGGGGAAAATCCAGTATTTCAACATGGGGCCATAGTTACAGGGCAGGAGGCTGGCAATCAGTCTTCTCCAGTGCCCAGTGGCGAGGCTGGTTCCGCCACATTTCTCCCCTTTCCCAAAGAGACTAACAAGGTATCTGGCCTCCTGTCGGTCAGTGCCTTGGTTAGTCCAGCAACCCACCCACAAAACATAGTCAGTAGTGCAGCCCACCCACAATGAAAAGTTACTGCACCTGGGGAAACGTGCAGCCAGTCTTTGTCCAGGGGCTCCATCACGGCTGTGTTTGGTACGGGTACTCCGGATCTGTGGGTTGCTGAGTGGGCAGAGACCAGCGGTACTCTGCCCTGGTGCCAGCACTTCAGCTGGAGTAGTCTGGTTGGAGCCCAGCTGTGAAGAGGGGGTGGTAGGCTCCTCTCCCTGGACCCGGTGCTGCTGCTGGAGGGGGAGACCGACTGTCTCCCCTTTTGATAAACAGTCCTGCTGCAGGGGGACAGGACCAACTGTCCCTACACCCTGTGGTTTGGGCACAGAGACCATGGTCCCATCTGCACCGGTGTGGGGCTGATCATCTCCACTTGGTGGGCTAGGCTGACGCTGGGGAGGGGGAATGAGACTCTCCCCTCCTGGTAGAATACTCTGTCGCTGGGGAGCAGGACAGACTGTCCGTACTCCCTGTAGCTTGGACGCAGAGACCACGGTCCCATCTCTGCTGGTGGGGACTTAGTGTCTCCCCTTGGTGGGCTATGCTGCCGCTGGGGAGAGGGGGTAACAAGCTCCTCTCCCTTACACACTTTCAGCCGCTGGGGAGGAAGGACGGCACCTTCAGCTCCCTGTGATACATACTGCCGCTGGGGAGGAAGGACAGCACCTTCAGCCCCCTGTGATACAAATTGCCGCTGGGGATCTGGGCCGACCGCCCAGCATCCCTGTAGGGCCGGTAGAAAGACCGCCGTCCCATCTCCACCTGCCATCTGTGGGTCTTTCCAGGACCAGTCTGTGAGGTCTCTCAACATTTGCGAGTAAGGACCACCTGCTTCCGCACCTCGCAACTCCGGCTGCTGCTGGGGATCTGGGCCGGCTGCCCAGCATCCCCGTGGGCCCGGTGGAGAGACCTCGGTCCCATCTCCACCTGCCTGTTGTGGTTCCTCACAGGACCAGTCTATGAGGACCCCTACTTCGGGTTCCTCCGGCCGCCTCAGGGAAAGACGGCTAACCTCCTCGGCTGCTGTAACACTCTTTCCGCTGAGCATACTCTCTCTCTTTCGCCAGCCGGAATTCTCGGTCCAGCCTTGTGTTTCGCTCGGCCGTGACCTGGTTCCAGATCACCCGGCATATCTCCATGGGTACATCATCCCCATACTGGG